AAAAGCCTGCATTACACTTATAATCCGATGGTATAATGTGGCTATTTTCATTGGCCAGAAAGTAAAGGTATAAACCCCTGACATCTGCATGTGGATCCTGGGGCAAAGCTAACCAATTGAGCCCAAAGTTGGAGTAGTGAGCCCCTACCGACAAAGCTTCCATTTCCAAAAGTCCTCTGACTCCACATACTTAATGCTTCATTGTTTTAAGTGATGTGAAAGCTACATTTTTCTTTCAGAGTATGTTGTCAAAAAACCAAAGGTTCTCTAAATGTTACACACACACCATACATACACCTCTCACATGCACATCACTCCACTCAGATATTTCCACACACACAACAGACACACACGCACACACCGCCCGGAGATCCTCTCTTCCCAGGGCCGAAAGGCAGGTCAGACCCACACAACACCCGTGTCAACAAATGCCCAAGCTGACCTCTAGTCTGAAGGCTGGCGGAAATCCCCCCATGAAGACTTCTTAGGATTTCCTAACCATTTAAGTCACCACAGAGCACTGAGTAGAGTTCCCTGGGTTATACAGTAGGTTCTCATTAGTTATCTATTTTATACATAGTAGTGTATATATGTCGATCCCAATCTCCCAGTTCATCCATAGCTGATTCAATTTGCAGCGCGGCAGAAACTAACACAACACTGTAAAGCAACTATACTCCAATAAAAGTTAAAAAAAGAAAAAAGACTTAATAGGAATTTGGACTAAGTGATGTCCTTGTCATTAGCTGGCCATTTCTAAATGCAGATATCAAACCCACCAAAATACTCCTTGATGCTCCTTCTTGTTTCCTTATCTGCAGAGATCTCAGCCCAGAGAGCTGGAAGTTGGGAGACCCAGAGAGGATCCTCATCCTCTGGGATGAGCTCTGGTCGAGCAGTCAGGACACCCCATCACAGCTCCTCCCTGTAAGACTCTGCAAATGTTGCTTCCACTCTTTTTTTTAAGCATTTACAAGTATTTACTACATACTGGGCCATAAGACAAGTCTCGAGAAATATCCAGGAAATGATATTACATCCATACATTTATAGATTTATACAAAGCTATGATTCAGGGGAAAAACAAGCTAACCCTATCAGTAACAGGTAGCACTTGGCCTTATGATGGTCAGTTTTTTTCATTTTTAAATTAATTTTTATTGGAGTATAGTTCTTTACAATGTTGTGTTAGTTTCTGCTGTACAGCAAAGTGAATCAGCTATACATGTACACATATCCCCTCTTTTTTAGATTTCCTTCCCATTTAGGTCACCACAGAGCACTGAGTAGAGTTCCCTGTGCTATACAGTAGGTTCTCATTAGTTATCTATTTTACACATAGTATCAATAGTGTATATATGTCAATCCCAATCTCTCAGTTCCTCCCACTCCCCCCTCCCCCCTTAGTAACCATAGGTTTGTTCTCTACGTCTGTGTCTCTACATCTGTTTTGCAAATAAGATCATCTATACCATTTTTCTAGATTCCACATATATGCGTTAATATATGATATTTGTTTATCTCTTTCTGATTTACTTCACTCTGCATGACACTCTCTAGGTCCATCCACGTCTCTACAAATGACCCAATTTCGTTCCTTTCTACGGCTGAGTAATATTCCATTGTATATAGGTACCACATCTTTATCCATTCCTCTGTTGATGGACATTTAGGTTGCTTCTATGTCCTGGCTATTATAAATAGTGCTGCAATGAACATTGGGGTGCATGTGTCTTTTAAAAAATTTTTATTTTATTTATTTTTATTTTTGGCTGCATTGGGTCTTCATTGCTGCGTGCGGGCTTTTTTCTGGTTGCAGCGAGTGGGGGTACTCTTCATTGCTTGCACGGGCTTCTCATTGTGGTGGCTTCTCTTGTTGCGGAGCACAGGCTCTAGGCACACGGGCTTCAGTAGTTGTGGCTCACGGGCTCAGTATCTGTGGCACATGGGCTTAGTTGCTCCGCAGCATGTGGGATCTTCCCGGACCAGAGCTTGAACCCGTGTCCCCTGCATTGGCAGGCGGATTCTTAACCACTGTGCCACCAGGGAAGCCCCACATGTGTCTTTTTGAATTATGGTTTTCTCTGGGTATATGCCCAGCAATGGGATTGCTGGGTCATATGGTAGTTCTATTTTTAGTTTTCTAAGGAACCTCCATACTATTCTCCATAGTGGCTGTATCAATTTACGTTCCCACCAACAGTGCAGGAGGGTTCCCTTTTCTCCACACCCTCTCTAGCATTTATTGTTTGTAGATTTTTTTGATGATGGCCATTCTGACCGGTATGAGGTGATACCTCATTGTAGTTTTGATTTGCATTTCTTTAATAATTAGTGATGTTAAGCATCTTTTCATGTGTTGTCCAGGACCAGATGGCTTCCACTCTCCAGCCTCAGTTTCTCCATCTGTGAAATGGGGTTATTAACCCTTGTCCAAAAGCCTTATTGGGAGGATGCGGTGAAACAAGGCAAAGCCCGGATGCACTTTGTGAGGCTTACATGGACCTCTTCTCCACCTTCGGGGAAGAGTTGGTCTCTGGCCTGGTAGACAACACACATGATAGCTGGACGTGCCCACCTCTGCCCGCTATGGCAAGACATGCCTACCTGCTTCCTGGCACCCCCACCCCAACACAAGCTGGAGCCAGCCTGGTAAACCATGTCTCCTTAACCAACTCCCCTGAGGGCCTTCCAAGGGCCCTCTGGCTGGAGACCAGGGGAATGACCAGAGGGCCCATTCACAGGCTCTGCTCAGGTTTCTGCTGACAGAGATTGGAGAGAAAGCAATATGAATGGAGCTCAGATGGACATAATCAAAGTGCCAGGGCTGCTGTCCCCTCCTCTCTCTGACCTGGATACTTTGAGCCAAGCCCAACCACCCAGCGTGGCCCGACCCACCAGGAATTCCTGGAGTTCCCACCAGGAACTCCAAAACCAGCAAGAGGGGGCCATTTGGCCGACTCAGTGCCAGCCGTGGGGAGGGAGGAGGTTGAGAGGGGATTTTCTTCATCCGAGCTTCAGATCCGTGGTTCTCAGCCTTGGCTGTGCGTTTGAATCACCTGGGGAGCCTTCTAAGTACTGATGCCCATGTCCCATCCTCAGAGGTTCTGACTTACCCATCTGGGGTGCAGCCTGAACAAAGATATTTAACAAATCTTTCCAGGGGCTCTAAGTGCACCAAGGTTGAGGCCCACGGAAGTGGATTCAGTTCTTTTCCTGATTTACACCTCTTCCCCAAACCCAGGGGAAAATGGTTTCCCTCCTGCCAAGGGCCCTAGAGAGAAGGAACCCTTGGGCTGGTCCAAGCTCCAGAAAGCAGGGACTGTGTTTTATTTATCACCATGTCCCCAGTGGCCCAGCCTAAGCCCTGGCACAGACTAGGGGCTCAGTGAACACTGGTGGGATGAGGTGTATGTAACTGAATGAGTGAAGTAATGAATGAATTCCAGTGGGGACAGGCTACCAAGTTCAAATCCCGCCCCTGCCACTTTCCAGCTGAGTGACTCTGCACAAGTCACTCAACCCCTCCACACCTCCGTTTCCCGTTTCCCGTTTCTGTACAATGGAGCTGATGAGGGGTCGGGGGGGAGGGGTGGACACTACTCCATAGAATTGTGTGAGGATTAAACAACTTAGCGGATCTGAAGCACTTAGAACAGTGTCCCTTCCCTGACGCTTCCTTGGCCTCTGTATCAGGCTTCCTAATAGAAAAGTTTACACGAAGAGAGCCTGGATTAGGAACCTCACTTCTGGAAACTCTGCTTCCATAAAGAGGGCAAAAGAGAAGTAAAGGTGGTCACAGTATAGGGACCTTCTTGGGAAAATCGAGACTAAATAAAGAAGCTTAGCCATCTCCCTTCTTTGGTTTCATCATTCGCGAAGAAAAATCAGCCTCACCGCGTCCTTAGACAGTTCCCAAGCCCGAGCGTGGGAACCGAGAGGGAAGAGTAAGGTTAACACGGTCAATCTCTCCCTCGGAACTGTCCCCACCTAAAAAAGGTAGGCTTGCGCCATCGTGCCCAGGACCGGGGCAGGTCCAGTTCAGCCACAGCCGGGTGTCTCTCCGTGGACCTCCCTGGACCTTCCCAGGGCTACCTGATTCCCAGGCCCTTCCCTCGCTCCAGACCAGGGTGTGTGCATGTTGCCTGTGGGGGAGGAGGGGGGGCCCGCAGGTTCTGAAAAATGGTGTCCTTTCTTCCTTCCTCTTGAGGGCTACGCGGCCGCCTATCCTCGCTGCAAACAGGCCAGGCCGGGCTGGGCGCCGCTCCCGGCCCGAGCGAGGCCGCTGCCCTCTGCGGCAGACGGCGGTGCGCGCTCCCCGCTCCAGCGCCCCGGCTGCCCGGCGGCCCGCGCGCCCTCCCGGTGCAGCAGGCGGGCGCTGTGACGTTCTCGGATAAATGCCGTGTAACTGTGTAGGCGAATGGGAGCTAAAAATAAGAGCGGAAAATCTATCATTAAGGTATCATTGCGCCAGCGCAGCTATTTGAAGGCTCCCATGGTCCCTGGCGCCTGCGTTTGAAGCCCGCCTTCAGGCTTTGGAGGGTATTTGCAGAAAACTCCCAGCAGCGGCTCGCCGGCCAGACCTCAGGGCGCAGGGGGTGGCGCCCGTAATTATGGCAACACTCAAAATAAAATAAAATAAACGCTCACCTCCCCCTCCACATCTCCGTCTGTATTGTCCTTAGGTCGCTGGGGAAGCCACCAGAAGTGGGGCTGGATGCTGAAATGAATGTGACCTGGCCGATTACGCAAATATTAGAACTGAAAGCTCTTTCAGCTCTGTTTCGCCATCCACCTTCCTCCATCCACCACGGATTAGAAAAATAAAGTACCAGGAGGAAGCCTTTGGAGGAGAAAATGACAAATGGGACTTAACCCCAGGTCTACAGTGCGCCGCGGCGGGGCGCAAAGACGCAAACTCCCGGGATGGCGAGCCTCTGGTGTTCCACTGGGTTAAACGAAAATTGATCCGATTTGCTTTTTAACACCCGTAGGGGAGAAGAGGAGATCAGGGGAGGGAGGACAGGATTTGTTTATGCGTGTGCGTCTGTGTGTCCGGGGAGGGGGAGGAGGCGCCAAGGTGCAGCCTGCGCGCGGCTCTGCGCCTCGGCGGGCTGCGTGCGTGTGTCCCTGTCCGCGCTGCTAAAGCGGGCTCTTCGAGGGATCGGCGTCACATGACTCCGCCTGCCCCTCGCCAGCGCGCAGCTCGCCAGTCCCTCAGTTTGCCCGGCGCCAAGGGAGGGTCGGGAAGCATCTCCAGGGCCCGGGGGCTCTGCGAAGCGGGGAAGAGGTTCTGGAGGGGAATGGTACATCTGGATTCCAGCAGCCGCGGCTCGGCGCCAGATCCCGGACTGTAGAAATTTGGGGGGAGGGGAGAGCGAGAAGGAGCGAGCGAGCGCCTGAGGGAGGCAGCGCGCACGGACAGGGGCTGCCGGGTGCCGCGCGGAGAAAATGTAAGCGCGTGGAGTCTAGCTGGCCTCCGAGCACCATGCAGAAGGGGATCCGGCTGAACGATGGCCACGTCGCGTCCCTGGGACTGCTGGCGCGCAAGGACGGCACGCGCAAGGGCTACCTGAGCAAGCGGAGTTCGGACAACACAAAATGGCAAACCAAGTGGTTCGCGCTGCTGCAGAACCTGCTCTTCTACTTCGAGAGCGACTCGAGCTCGCGGCCCTCGGGGCTCTACCTGCTGGAGGGCTGCGTCTGCGACCGCGCGCCCTCCCCCAAGCCTACGCTCTCGGCCAAGGAGCCTCTGGAGAAACAGGTGAGGCCAGCGCCGCGTCTGACCTCCCAGCGCCCGGGCCGCGGCCCTCGGGGCGCAGGCCCTTCCGCCGGCCGAAGGCGCCCGAACTTTAGTCCCTCTACTCGGCGCCCTCGGCGAGAAGGGAGGGTTGGCCTAAGCGGGCGGTGACCCCGCGGTGGCCAGAGGGGGCAGGGACTGCGGACAGGGAGCGGGTGTGGGCTGCGGCTGCCCTTCACCCGGCGAGCTCGGTGGGAGGCGGGCGCAGAGCGGGCGAGACGCGGAGACGCGGAGGGGGATGAGGCGCGGAGAGAGATGGGCTCCCGCGGGAGACGTAAGCAATGAATGTAGACCCACATCCAGCCAGAAATGGTGCTCCCACCTCCACTCCCACCCGGGAGAGCCCCGGACCGGTGAGGTGTAATTCCCCGCGCTTAGGCACGGGAAGGGCGAGACGGAGGCGTGCGAGCGCCGCGGCCCCTACCTCACCGCGGCTGGGAGCGAAGAGGAGCCTGTGCTCTCTCTGCCAAGTTGGGAGGCTGCGAGGCCGCAGGGGTCGGTTAGGTGCCATCGACCGGTGGCGCACTCCCAGCCGGCCCCGGGCGCAAGCAACAAACCGAAGGGTTCCAGGGACCTTTCTGATGCGCCGGGGCTGGCGCCAGGGCCGCTGCGGAGGCCGCGGGACAAGTGGGCGCATCTCTCCTCCTCCGCCCCCTGCGCCTCCGCCACCGCCGCAGTCGCGGCTCTAGCGCTGCTCTAGCGTTTCCGGAGTTGCGAGGCTAAAAGGCCACGCTTGGATCTACTGGGGGGCCTGGGCAGGGCGCGGGTGTGCCTTTGGTGTGGAGGGATGGATTAGCACCAGCGGGTGCCGAGTGAGAGCACCAGACAGCGGGAGTGCAATTTTTAAGCTTGATGCACTCTCCAAAGGCATCTAGTCTGCCCCCCTCCTCTGGGAAGGTAAAGTCAAAGATAGTGGATGCTAAAATGTCACCGCTGGGAGGACCTGCGATCCATGGGGACCCAACCAGCTGGTTATTGCCTAGATGAGGTCACTGAGGCCAAAAGAGAGAAATTTACTTGCCCAGTGTCATGCCAGGAGTTGAGGCCACTTTAAGGTTCTGAGAAGATAACTGAGGGCTCAAGAGCAATTATCGCAGCCAGACTGGTGGTGATTGAATTGGCTGAAATAAAAGCATCCTTGAAGTCGCCCTCCTAATGGTAGAGACAGATCTGAGCTCAGTCCCCGCAGCACATCTCTTCCTTCCCTGCCCTCAGCCCAGAGGTACTGTGAGATGATTTCGAAGGCTGAGAAAGGTGGACAGGAATATTTGAGGGTGGGTCTCTGGGGATGGCAAGCCATGTGGCAGGTAGGGGCTCCCAGATGCAAAGCAAAGAGCAGGCAGCTCCTTAAGCTAAAGGCATAAATGGGGCCTGGAAGACACCTGGGAGACCCAGATCCAGGCTAGGCCAGAGATGCCCTCTCAGCCCTTGATAACCTGCCCTTTGCCAGCCTTCCAGAACATTATCAACACTTGTTGGCCAAAGTCCACCTGTACTACCAGTGGCCTATAGCCCCAACTGGTGCCCATCCTCGGCCCCCTACCCCAGAGCACAGAGCTGAGCTCCTGGGCAGGCAGGGAGAGAGGGCTGAAGGAAGCTGAGTTGTTGTTGGGCACACAGTGTGTGCTCTCAGCCCCTTGGACGCAAAGCCAGAAACAGGCCTGAGACTGAATCACAGCTCTGCAACTTCCTGTCTGTGTGACCTCAGTTAACACACTAAACTTCTCTGAGCCGCTGTTTCGTAAACAAAATGGAGGTAATGACACCTATCTTTCTGGGGTTTTGAGAACACAAATAATGTGTATGGAAGTGTGCCCACAATCCATTTTAGTTTGTTCTGATAAATATTAATTGAATCTGAATTATACCCGTCTGGACAAGGAATAGAGGTCTGACATAAAATGTTGAAGCTGAAAGGAACCTCAGAGAGATCGTACAGCCCACTCCTCCCATTTTACAGATAGGGAAACTGAAGAGCAGATTGGGAAGAAATTACCTACCTGTTTCTGATTCAGTGGCAGAGTCAGACCTAGAATTCACCCAATGTCTAAGAATTCCTGAAAATGAGATCTTAACGTTGATTCCAGATCATTCACCTCTTGGCTCGGGTGTTGAATCTTGCTAGCAGTGTATTATGGGAGGGACAGGAGTGCAAAACCACTTGACCATGTGTACACGTGGTCTGAGCCGTTTCCCCAGAACACCAACAGTCAGAGATCCTCAAATGTGGTCACAAGAGTAACCCTCCTGGCACAAGAGGACAGAAGAGGGTTGGGAATAATAGGGGGTGGTCTGGTGCTGCCCAGCTCAGGTGGAAATTTCTGTTAAAGATGTGTGCTTTGTTTCGTACACTTATAGAGATGTTCCATTCGACTCCAGACCGAGAGTTTGGCTCGTATGGAAAAGTAGATCCTGTTCCTTTGGTCTGCACGTGTCTATAAAAACTTCTGTCTTTTTCTTTTCTAAACCTTTGAGTAAAATTGACGGCCTCCGCAGCTGCTCCATGTTTCTCCTTGAGGGGGAGCCCCCATAGCACCCACAGAGCACCCTCATGAGAGGCCCAGCTCCAAGCCATTCTGTGACTGGGTTTGCCTTGTAAACCGCAGGAAACCTTGATTCAAAACCTGCTGGGCATGTGGCAGAGAACCCATGTTAGGAGGCCTCAAAGAGGCTATCAGTTTGGACTGGCCAACACCTAGTGAAGACTTGGTTTTAGCAAGATGTCATTTTTATCCAGGCCTGAGCAGGCAGCTTCCATCTGGAGGGGCCAGAGATGGTTTCTCAAGAAATAGAAACCAAGTCTTGGCTGGGAACCACCCGAATGACAGGGATGAGTCAGGGACAAAGCACATAGTATGTGCTCAGGAGATACTAATTGAGCTGAACTTCCTGGTGTAGCTTGTCAATTCCACATTTCATGTCCTGAGGACTGACTGTGCACCAGTCCAGGCCTGGTACGGGGTCATAGGCCCAGGAAGCTGGATGTCACAGTCCCCGGCCCCCAGGGAAGATTAACACAGATAAAGATGGTACCTTACACTGTGAAGATGCTCCAATAGGATAGGATGCTCACCTTACACTGTGAAGATGCTCTAACAGGAAGGGCTCTCAGGGTGCTCTGGGAGCCCAGGCCCATCCTAACATGATGGGCTATCGTCTGGCTGCTTCTACGCTGCTCTGACAGCGTCTGTGGTAGCTCTGGCCTGGAATCCCGAGGCCTCTTGAGATCGGAGGGGCACAGCCGCGCTCCTGTGCTGACTGACAGTTGCAAGCACCCCTCTACACGCTGGCCCGAGCCCTGCTTGCTCAGCCCTGACCTCCTCACCTCTGACCCTACAGCCCACACACTGAAGGCCCAGAGGCCCTGGACTTCGAATTTGGGTTCAGAGATTGACCCTTGGGGTTCTTGCCCTGCTTAGGCATGGAGTCACCCCACACTGGCTTTTCCCACCCTCACTCCCAGTCCCCCGAAATAGAGCTTCCAGCCCCAGCTTCTCAGTGGTGGACTTGACCAAACCAACCCCAGCACTCCCCTTACCGCCCCCCGCCCCGCCCTGCCCAGACTCTTCCTGATTCCTGTAAAACAGAAGGGACACAGATCCCTTCAGCTGGAACCTCAGCACTGATGTGGGCAGAGGCTCCGGAAGCTGGGGGTGCCCATTAGCACCTGTTATCCACCCAGTGGGTGGCTTTCCCTGGAGACAAGAGGAAGTCCCTCTCCTGGTCCTCATTCACAGGACACATTTCTGGTTGGCCTGGTGGATACCTGTTCACAACAGCCCTAAAGCCATGAGTGTGCCCGGTTTACAGATGAGGAAACAATCTCACCAGCACCACCCAGCAAGGCAGCAACTGAAAGGCTCTCTGGCTTTCTGTGCAGCTGCGCTGTCTTCACCACAAAGCCTGCCTGCCTGTTGCTGTAGCACATTCAGCCCTCTGGGCCAATCAGAAAAACACAAACGTGAATGTAGGGGAGTCAGTGTACTCGAAAAGCAACCCCCCCCCCCAGACACAGGGACACAGGGACGTCATGCACACACGTGGTGCCAGCAGCTCAGCCCACGATCCTTGCACCTATGGAAGGGCCAGCAGGGCTGCCCCACGGTTCCAGACCAGGCCCAGCCCAGCAGGTGTGGGACCCCAGGGGTAAGTGTGTGGGGTGCCCATCTCCCCACCCCAGCCCCCAGATATTTCTAGCACTGAAATGAGGTTGAAGCAGCTCAGTAATGACACCTTAATTGGGACAAGGAAGTACCAGGTCCTTGCCCCTCTGCTTGGCGACAGTGGGATGAAGGTCAGAAGCAGACTGTACACACACAAGCCTACACTAAAGTCTCACTGCCGTTTGTGCGTGCCGTAAACATTTTGGCTCTCGGTGTGAAGCCCATGCTGGGTCTTGTGGATACAGAGAAAAATCAAACTTAATCCTTGTCTTCAAAGGGCTCACAGTGGAGTAGGGCACTCTCCCTAGACTCACTCCCACAGTAAACACCAAGTGCCAGAAATTCTCCATCCTAAGGAGTCCGGACTCTCTCCCTGCCCCTGCCTTGGTTCAGGAGCTCACAGTGTCAGGGTTGATGTGTTGAACTCGCTCACATGGTCCCATCCCGCCCCACGCCAGTCCCCTGCCACACAGCACGCCACCAGAGTGAGCTTCTAAAGGGCACACCTGACCGTGTGCTAAGCCACTGAAAGTGTCACTGGCTCTCATTGCCTTTAGGAGAAACTGCAGATTCTCCAACGTGACCTGGAGGACCCAGCGGGCTCCAGCCTCTGCCTGCCCTGCTAACTCTGCCCCACCCTCCCATCCCCCTCCTTCCTCACCCTACACCTGCCTCCTCTTTCCCACCTCAAGGCTTCTGCAGAAGCTGCTCCCTGTGCCTGGAATGATCCCCGACTCCCCACAGCCTTTAGTGACCAACTTCTCCTCCTCCTAAGACCTCCTTTTAGGTCTTAGCCTAAAA